TTATTATTATTATTATTTTATTATCATTATTATTATTGTTATTATTATCATTGCTATTTTATCGTTTTTATTCATTATATTTTGATTACGATTATTATTCATATTATTATTATCATCATGATTATTCATATCCATGTTATTCATATTCATATTCATATTATTATCATTATCATTGTTGTTGTTGTTATTTTCTGTTATCATTATTATTATTATTATTATTGTTATTATTATTATTATCATTATTATTACTGTTATCATTATTATTGTTATTATTACCATTGTTATCTTTATTGCTATTAGTAGTAGTAGTAGCAGTAGCAGTAGCAATATTAGTAATAGTAGTAATTATCATAATTTTCAATGGTCATTATTGTGACATTGTCATTTTTGTTTTTATTATAAATATCATTATCAATACCAGCATTATTGTTATCTCTATTATTAATAGTATTGTTTTTATTATTACTATTGTTATTAGTACTATCTTTGTTGCTACTGTTTTTATTATCATTATCAATTATTATTCTTGTTATTACATGAATATAATCGTTATCGTTATTGTATTCATTATTACGTCGTTGTTATTATCATCAGCATTACTATCCTTTTTGTAATTCATTATCATCAGGATAAGTCGATATGGGAAGCTGAGCCCCGCCCGATATGCCCATGAGGAGAGCTCGGTTTGTGGCGACTAATGCCGAATCGCCAACGTGTCAGCTGGTGCTGACTCGGCTGAACTTAGTCCTTACCCACCGTGGTGCCCAGCCACAGCGGTAACCTCCAGGCGACAATTGCAACTTCTCGCGCCTGGGCGGGGCGCGAACCGCCGACCACTCGGATGAAAGGCCGACACGTTACCACTGCACTAGCCCGGATCATTACTATTATTACTGAATCATTATTACTTCTGTTACTGTTATCTCAATATCAATTTGAGTACTACTATGACTACCACCACTAATGACGCTATTACTCCGACTATTATTACGATGAGTTTTATTATCATCATTATCATCATATTTTTTAAGCGTCATTATTGCTAATGGAATTGCTAATATCATTATCAATATGATTTACGTCAAGAATTTGGTCCATCGAATAAAATATTGAAGAGCCAACGCAGACACATATTCATTTTCCTTTATATGTAAATGTTTTCGGGATGACTACGCTAGATATCAAAAGTCCGTTTTTTTTTGTTAGATATTTTTCTATAAACCAAGGAAAAAAAGGTATATCCAGAATTACTTAAAAAAGGATGATACAAAGTTATTTATAGAAGATGAATTAGGTCAATGAACGCTGAATATGAAGGAGATATATAAGACTCTAAATATAAGAGAATTTTAGCCAAGTTACGTCAAACCCCACATATTATTTTTGACTTTGACCACCCCGAATAGAGAGAGAGAGAGAGAATAGTAGCAGAGTAATAAGATCAAAGACATCATACTAACTTTAAGAATGAATATAAATCTCACTAGAATCACTTAATCGTAAAGCTTTAGAATCGCCTGTTAACGCCTGTGACCACAAAGGCAGGAAGAAGCGTTTTCCACGGGCGCCGTCTGTGCAAAGGACAATATGTTATACATATACATTTCTACACACACACACACACACACACACACACACACACACACATATATATATATATATATATATATATATATATATATATATATATATATATATATATATATATATATATACATATGTATATATATATATATATATATATATATATATATATATATATATATATATATATATATATATACATATATATATATATATATATATATATATATATATATATATATATATATATATACATATATATGTATGTGTATGTATGTAAATATATATAAACATATATATACCATTTCCCTCATCCTCGCCACCCATTCTGTTCATCCACTATTTTCCCTCCTCGCATCTCCCTTCTCCTCATTCTTCCCCTTCTCTCTCTCCATCACCCCCTTCCCTTTCCCCCCTTAATCCCTTTTGCTGCTCCTTCATCCCAACTTCTTCACCCTTCTCACCTATTCCTCTCCCTCCTACCCTCCATCCCTCCTACTCTCCTTCCATCTCCCCTCCACCCGTCATGCATTCCAACCCTCCTATCCTCCCTCCCCCATACCCTCCATCCCTCCCCCCCCTCCATCTCAATTACTCCTTCCTCCTTCTCATCTATCCCCCCCCTCCTCCCCCCTTTCAATGAATACGTCTCAAGGTATTTCTGTTATTTTTATCAAGGTGACAAACCCAATAATTTAGCGAGACGCGCTGCATCTTATTAACTTAATCAAATCTGTATCCATTCAGAGTTTAATCAGAGGCTAATTAAACAGCTTTGTTTATTCGTTTGCTTTTATTCTTTGGGGTTATTCGTATTCATTATTATTGCTAATTTCTTTCGTTCGAATTAAATCAAGTTTGTGTCCGTTCATAGTTTTAATAACAACCCAACTCTTTTTCATTCATTTACTTCATT